CCTACCAAAAAAAAAAAAAAAAGCTGCAAGCAATGTAGCTATCCAGCTCACAGAGGCATACCAGCCCACCAACCATGACAAAGCAGTAATTGTAGAGGTCAGCCAAAATGTAATATAAGTTGAGGAGCCCCTCAATGAAAACATAATGGGGGGAATTTATCAAAGCACTTGCGACAGTTTTAGCCTCTTAGATAAATTTTTTATGTGCAGATCTGTCTTTCAACATGTGCCCCTGTTTTCTTCAGAGCTTGCACTTCTTTTCCAACTGCTCATGTTTTGCACCTGTTTTCTTCAGAGCTTGCACTACTTTTTCAACTGCATGTTTTTTGCACCTTTTTTGCACGTGTTTTCATCTGCACTTGTTAAAACTCATTTATCAACAACATTACACTAGCTTGATAAATCTGGTGCAAATATTTTGTTCAAACACTTGCAATTGCTTTGATAAATTCCCCCCAATATATTTTATAACTAACTCTGTTAAAGGGCTAGCTAGAGGTAGCTTCTCAATATAAACATTACTTTTGATATGATCAGTCACATTGTCAGATTCAGTATAATGATATCATTAAAATAAAAACTTCAAGATATCCTAAAGATATAAAAATTGTTAATATCTCTTAGTTTGGAAAGATATACAAAGTAATTTCTAAGATTTCTAGAGTCTCCCAGGAATAGCAAAAGCTAAAAACTTAAATGCAAAACAGTAGTGAACATTTCTCACTAGTGACTGGGCTGCCAACTTTTTTACAAATTACAAAAGTTTTAGCCAGGCCTAGTTGGGGTCCTATTCACACTAAGGCAATCCTTTATGGTGTGTTTACTATGCACACGTTAACCTCGCTTTAATGTGCAAAGCGTTAAGGCAGCCCACTCATTTAAATGTAACAAGCAAAAAGAGAGGGTGCAAAAGACATTGTCTATTATGCAAAAATCCATTTATGAAAATTATATTTGATTTTACTCTTACAATTGTGAGGGGAGAGTAGTCTTGTCACAGGAAATAGATTGTTACACTTCTCAGCACTACTTCAAACCCCCACCCCCCTAGGAAGAAACAAAAAGGTGTTGAAACACTTTTTTCATCTTGGAAACTTTACTTCCAACAAAGCCCAACACATGGGATGTAGATCCTTCAATAATGCATAGGCCATTCACAAATGGAGTTGCAGTAGTGTTTACGCAGTAGTGGTTTTTAACATTTTCTTCCAGAGGATAAATAATGTTACTCTTCGCTCTCTGCCCTAACTAGGGAGGGGTACACTCACCTGAAGGGGAGCCCTAGTTTCAATACACTTACATCCTAGGCATGGTCTTTTCTATCTAGAAAAATGTTTCCTCGACACTTCTCTGCTCCTCCCCACAAGACTCTCCAACTCTACTTACTAGACTCTTTACATAATGCAACCTAATTGGCAAGGCACTAACTTAGCAACTAACAGGGTTGTCAGTAGTGTGGGGACATCTAGTGGAGTTTGAGAGAATTGCAACAGACATCTCACTAAATAAGTAACTGTAGGGTCATACATGTGTTATCAGCACGCATAGATGTGAATGGGCCCACGAAGTCCAGACAACCTCAATAGATCTGCTTTGGGGTTACTAAGTATGAACAGTTTAAAGTATATCTAAAGCCAAAACTGATTTTTCATTTTAAATAGAGCAGGGAATAGCTATTTATTAATAATTAAAACCCCTGTCAGTTTTTTTGCCATATGTGTACTGTTAAACAGATTTCCCTTAACTTTCCGTCCTGTAGACACAAAACAATCTCTCCAAACTGAGGAAAATATTCTTTTAGACAGTTTTCACTGGAACAGATGACCGCATTGGAATATTTCCCCTCTAATCCTGTTATGGTGGCAACTCAAAATTTTAGATTTTAACTTGCTTTTAGTACCCGTCACAATGGTCACCAGGACAATTAGAAAGTGTGAGTCTTCCTAGCGGAGACACAGACGGCAATGAAAACCTGACAAAGGTCCCAACCCTTCCCCAAAATTTCCCTTATCCAAAATGTTTTGCCTTTAGGTACACTTAGGCTTGAAAGTTTACCAATGTTTGTTAGTTAAAGCTGTTCTGCAAGGGGGCACAGCCAGTTATTAAAGAGTATCTCTAGCCAAAACTTTTTTTTAAAGTTTACATAGGAAGTAGGGAATAGCTAGATCCCCTGGCAGGTTTTTTTCTTGCTTTCAGTGGGGAAGATTTTTCTTCACTTCCTATTCTGGAGACAAAGGAAATTACTTTTATTTATTACAAATTACAAATTTCTCCAAAGACAGTATAACGTCCCATTTGCAAGTGCGATAGATGAGTCTTACCAAATAATTTGTGAGGCTCATGCAGTTAGCTGTGGGCGGGAGGCACTGCACAATACAATGACAGCAGCTACCACCACAGCTGTTTGCTGCGGTTAACTCCAGACAAGTGCACATAACTGCAGACTGTTTGCAAGCAGCTGGGGGAGGTGGCAGCTGTCATTGTAAAAAAATATCTAATTTTAGATTTTACATGCACTGTAAGCTCTGCTACTAGCATAATCATGCAATAATTCATGTAAATCAATGATCTCTGGGAAAAGATCTGTCTTTCCTCCAATCTTACTTTCTTTAGCTACAGAATATTATTATTATTGAGGATTTATATAGCGCCAACAGTTTGCGCAGAGCTTTACAATATTTGGAAGACCTTACAATCATAATACAATTCAAGACAAGATGGTAAGGAGGGCCATGAATAAAGCTTGTGACATAATTAGATTCTGCTTACTGATTTTATGTAAATGAAATATACCTAACATGAGCACACTAGTGTTTTTTAGATAATGTAGAGCTGAATGCCTACATTCTAATGTAACCATTTTTCAGAGCTGATATTGCTGATAAATGGGATAAATAGATCTGTACTGCCATTTAGCAGACATCCTTTGTATCACACCTCATTGGTCCATTTTTTGTGGACTGCATAGAATCTGACAACATTTCTACTAAGACTGTGAGTATCTTCTGACCCCCCCCCCCTAAAGTTAATAAGTTAAACTGTTGCTAGCTGTGACATTGTGTCTAACAGAGCATGTTATTGCATAGCATGGCCCACGGATGCAACAGGAGCATGCAAAAAATCCAGGAAATTTTGTATTAACCCTTGTAGTGGGGCTACCCAGAGATATACTCACCCAAAGCTCCGAGCCAGCTTCTTCTTAGACTGGTCCTTCCAACATCTCTCCCCCTCCTCTGCAGTGGCCCCATAAATCATCACATCTACAGTATATGCAGTGTATAGACATGAGGATGCCAAGGAAGATTCCAATGCTGCAGGGAGGGGGAGACAGGCTGGAGGGAGCACCGTGACAGCTGGCTAGCTCAGAGCTTTGGGTGAGTATATATTTGTTATTTTAGCGCCTGGACACAAACGAGCAAACAAACAAACTTAACCCTTGCAGTGTGGGGTAGCCCCACTGCAAGAGTTTATGAAAAAAATCCCTGGAGTTCTTCCTTAAGTGTAATGGTGTGTATCCCACCTCCCACAGGCTGCTGCTTCTTGTAAAAATCTTCCTTTCATGCTGCCATCATTCTTGCCAGATATTGCTTTGAGTGGCTATCTTCCATTGCTATATTGACAATTAAATATTTTATGCAAAATACATTTTTGAAACATCATATAATTTATTATATATCGCATTTAAGCCATTGATGATGCATTTAATTTATGTTTAATTTTGGCCATATTTATGGAATTACAATTATTTCTTTTTAAGGTCATTTCATTTTTTTATTTAAAAAGATTACATCAACGTTAGATCCAGATCTGTCCAAAAGAGGATCTTTTTAATACAAAATATATTTCTGAATAACAACTTTCTGTATTTCTGTATGAGGGTGTCCATTTGAGTTCTCTGGCCTAAGACCATAGTCAGCAAAGGACCAGAGCACTAATGGCTCAAGGGAATGCAATAGAGTGGAAGCAGAACACCAAGTGGGGGAAATAATAGAAAAAGCAGAAGCTAGAGAAAAGAGATACAGTAACAAAGGGGATAAAAACAACTTAATCTACATTTTGCTGTGTTATGTACAAGCCAAACAACATTTTAATGTAGATGCCCAAGTGTGCCAGATATGTTAGGACCCTAGCATGACCTTGGTGAAACATGCATTGGTTGAAATGGCTAACAACCCTAAATACAAATAGACCCAACACAGACCCATAGGGGTTTATTTATAAATAATGTTTTATGTAATATTGCCACTAGATGGAGTTAAAGGCGCTTAGGAAATAAGTATAAATTTGATATGCTCCTCAGCACCATATTTACGCACAGATTGAGCGTTCACAGATATTCATATGGTGAAGGGCCCTGTGGATAGTTTATAAATAGATGCCAAAGTGAAGCTAGTCACCTAAACCTAACAACAAACAGGGTCATATTCCATGATATTGAGAAATGTGCAATAATCTATAGCAAAATGTTTTTTTTTTATTTACTATAATAAGGTCACTTATTCTGAATGGTTGGTGGGCCTTTAAGTGTGTTGCATGTTGTCCTTTGCCCTATTAAATGCTTGACTGTTGTTTTATGAACATGTTATAATTTGTTATAGTATTGCACACTATGTAATACCAGAAGAATGTGTCATTGTGTCCTCCACATCTAATGTGATGCTTTTTTTCTCAGGTGCTCATATTGGGGTTGGTATCAGTGGTTTGGAAGGCACACAAGCTGTCCAGTCCAGTGACTATGCTTTGGCTCAGTTTTCTTATCTTCAGCGCCTTCTACTTATTCATGGACGTTGGTCTTACCTTCGTATTGCAAAGTTTCTGCGATATTTCTTCTACAAGACATCAGCCAGTGTTTTCTGCCATGTGCTATATGCATATTTCAATGGATTTACAGCTCTGGTATTTATTATTGAACTAATACTATTGTAAGAGCTGTGATTTGCGTAAGAATAACAATTTTGATGATGTGCTTATTGAAAAAAATCCACTTCCTAAGACAAAAGTTCCAATATCAGATCTTTTGAATTTGCTTTTGGCTATCTGCACCAGTCAAACAGGAAAATAATATTTAGTGTATTATTTGACAAAAATGTAAGGTGGACAAAAGGCATGAAAAGATACCTGAGAGAATATGTAGACTGCCATTGCTGACTTCTCTTTCTGAAAATACTAGTTGCCTGGTGATCATGCTTTCCCTCTGGCTTCAAAATACGTTGAGTCACTACCCTGTAACATGTCTGCAGATCCTTAAATCTCTCTATAACTCTTCTGACCTGCAGGTGTCTGGTTTGGTGATTCAGAAAGCACTGAAGCCAGGTAGCTATAATTTTTTGAAGGAGGTGAGAAAGTCAGCCTCCATTCTATCAGCAAAGCACCAGAGCACTAATGCCTCAAGGGAATGTGACAGTGTGGTAGCAGAACACCAAGTGGAGGGAAGAATAGAAAAATAAGATTTTCACTTTTGGGCAAATCGTTTTGTGAATTTTTGGTTGAATCTTGTTAAATAACAGGAGGTCATTTATTCATGTTCTGGTGATTGCTATTCATGGTCCTGAAACTTTTTTTCACTGCAGTTTCCACACCAAAAAAAATCCTGCATACCCCACTGCCTGCAAGAGCTAACCAGATCAGCACACCAGGCTGGTATCCCCAACATGCAGCTCCCCTGCTATCCTGATACCAACCCACATACCTTTCAGCAAAAAAATGGGTTTCCCCCCCAAAAAACACTTGTGCCCCGATGATGAAGGGCAGTGGGCTCTTATGCACCCCAGTGCCCAGTAGGAGGTGCCAACAACGAGGGCTTATGCACCACTTAACTGCCCCACAATAGGAGCCAAGTACTGTACGTGTTTTCTCCCTTCCTGGGGAACTGGTTTTAGGTGTTTTCACCCTCCCTGCACTCCTAACCAGTTCATATTTGACTAAGACCACATGCGGGCAATTATGTCAGGCTCCTGAAGAACCCTGTGCCCATCAGAATTGGGCTAGTGTGCTTTAGGTAAGGGGCCCGTTTTTTAGGTGAACACTTTTTAAAGCACCCCTACCTCCTATTCTGAAGGGCATGTGGGCTGATATCTGAAGAGGGGAGCTGCATCTTTGTTGCTCCCTTTCTATGGGGCATGTCAGTCAGGTTAACTGTGGAAGAAGGGGAATTACCAATGATAGTGCTAAACTTGTATTAAAAACATTAGTTTAGCACTCTTTATAGGCAAAAATGTAAAGCTCCAAAGTAAAGAAGTGCAAAACACAAATTTCCCATGCCAAACCAGAAAATATTGTGCAAAGCGAAAAATAAGCAAATGTTGGACGAAATTCACAACAAATCTACATTTGTTGTTATAAATAGGACGAATAGCACAGTAAAACACTTTTGCATTGAAGAACAGATGTTGGGTGTTGGGTAAACATTTTTTTCATGTGGACATTTCTTGCAGGATGCAATTTTTGATTGGTTGTGTGAAAATGGACGGATTTCATGTGATAACAGAAAAAAACCCACTGTGATATATAGAGTGAATGTGAAAAAGTTAGTCTTGAATTGATACAACCCTTAGTAATGTGGCATCTACAATTAATGTGTTCTTTTCTTCTAATGCAGACAGTGTTTGACAGCTGGTTCATAGCCTTCTATTCTGTACTTCTCACTTCTTTTCCAGCATTGTCCATGGGACTGTTTGAACAGGTAAGAAACAAATCTGATGCCTTCATTAGTTGCATTTCTTAACCTACAAATGGCCTAAATGTATGTAAATTATTCTGGGAAACATTTCTTATAAATCAAAAGTTGTATTATTTTAATTATGCACCCTATTTCTTTAATGCCCTGAGCATTAGATTCATTTGATGTCTGCTTCCCTGTGTCCATTTAAACACTTGCAAATATTAGCACTGAGAAAGAGGGGATGATTCTTGCCCCTGATATGTGGTGGCTATTGTTTTATGAATCTCTAAAAATATTTGGACTCCTTTATGAATTTAGACTTGTGTTCCATCTTTGATTCATGCTTTGAGTGATGTCCAGTGACAGTGTCACTTTAAAACATTACGTGGCCTTTGTTCAGACACAATACCAACTTGTGCAGTCCTCTTTTTGCTTTTGGTCTTATTAGAACAGGACTGACAGCTGTTGTGGCAATCCTACCTTGCAGATCCTCTTGGCATGGAGCTTGTATGTTCTCCCTGCATTTGCATTGGTTTGTTCCAATTTTCTTACAGAATTCCAAAAACACATCTGTACAGCCGCCGGATCGTTTGTACCATGCGGCGGCCTCCCCAGCCACGGCCGCCGCCGGCATTCCGGGCACCGCTGTCCCTGTGCGGCACCCGGGAGCGACGCGGCGGGTCTCCCCACAACGATCGGAGAGAAAGTCAGCGGCTTCCAGCTGCTGATCTCTCCTCCGATCACTGGACCTGGAAGTGATGTGTAATACATCACTTCCGGTGTCACTCGTTACAGTCTCCATCTCTTAGAACCAGGAGAAGAAGCTGGGGAAGCATATCTCTGCTTTCTCAGCTTCTTTGGCGTCCCTAGGTGACATTAGGGGTCTGAAAGACCTCTGATGTCTCCAAAAAGAGGACCTGTCACACCCTATCTGCTATTACATAGGGGGCTTGTTAGCCCCCTATGTGATAGCAATAAGGTTAGTGGGAAGAAAACGTGGTTAAAAATTAAAGTAACATATACCGGTAAGAAAAAAAAAATGCAAAAAATGTTTTTAAAGTCCCCCGCCCTCCACGTGCACGCACATACACACGCAAACACGCGTAAAAAGCGTTTAAATTGTTCCCTATGGGAAATTTTGGGTATTGATGTTTTTTGCGGCTTCAAGGGCGAGCGCAATTTTAAGGATTGACATGTTTAGTATTTATTTACCCGACGTGAACCCATCTTTCATATTTTACTAAAACATTGGATATTATATTCTGTTTGTGCACTAAATTTTAATTTAGTTAATTTTTTCCTAAAAATACTGGTTTGATAAACATTTGCGCAAAAACCCTGCAACATAAAAAATTGTAAATAGCATTTTTTTATTCTACAGGGCCTCTGCTTTCAGAATATATATCATTGTTTGGGGATTTGAAGCTGTTTTCTAGCCAAAAATGTATATTTTATCATGTGTGTACAAATAGTAAGAAAATGCTCCGGACAGCAAGTGGTTAATAAACGTGTGCAAATATAATGTAACGTAATTGTAACTAGTATTTTTTTTTATTCTACCTTGTCTGCTTTCAGAGAATTTATATAATTATTTGGTGGTTTTAAGTAGTTTTCTAGCCAAAAAGTCTGATTTAACATGTGTTTGAAAAATATAAAAGTGGCTCCAGTAGTCAAGTGGTTAAAGGAGAACTATGGGGTTAAGGCTTTTCCCCATAGTTCTCCTTAGGGTAACGGGAGGACACAAACTAGCGTCCTCCCAGAACCCAAGGCTCAGTATACTGCGAGCTGTAGCTCGTGGTATACTGAGACGCCGCAGTATAGCGCGAGCTACTGCTCGCGGTATACTGAGACGCTGAAGCGGATCCCGACAATTATGTCTGGATCCGCCCAGCTGCGTGACTGACAGCTGGCTCTGCCTATCTAGAGGCAGAACCAGCTGTACCCGCCCCCTCCCCCGTCCATTCCGCCAGTCAGCGCTGGCGGATCGGAGCGGGGAGGGGCGAATCCAGCCCCTCCCCTGTCACGGCTCTAGATCGAGAGGTGAGTGAACGCCGGTATGTGTTTACTCACCTCCCGATCTACTAAGCCGACCTGTGACAGTCTCATTGTCACAGGTCTTCTAGAACTATGCGATGAGTGAAAAGCACTCACCTCACAGTTCTCCTTTTAAAAAAACTAAAAAATAAATATGATTAGTTTCACTTTAAAAGTAGTTATAAACCCAAGGTTTCACAAAGTACCATAGTATAGTGCAGGAATGAGACATTAAAAAGTAGTTTCCAGATTTCCAGTCAAAACTTCCAAATTAACCATAGTGGTCAAGTGATTGCCTGCCCAGAAGGTGGGAACCTGTCGCAGTACATCACTTCTGGTGACATCACTGCCCTGTCACTCACAGTTCTAACTTTTAAAATGTACATTTTCTTTTGTTTATTTTTAACCCACATGGTCATTGTAGTCATTAAGATGTTTTAATTAATAAATTGGGCCAGGGATAGCTGATGGGGCATTGCTATTGCCGTAGGAACAAATCCTGGTCTGAATAATGATGTCTGTATATGAAAATACTAGCAGGCAGCCTGCAGAGGCACATCAAGAGCGCAGATGGAGGGGGTAAGGTGCATTGTAAGGTACTGCAACAGGAAGATCATCACATAAAATAAGTTAAAATTAAAAAATGATATCAATATTTCAGGGTGCATGAGCAACCTAACAGTGCATTTTTATATTTGAGTATATATTAGGAGACTTTAGGATAGCAATGTCCTACTTAAAAACTGTAATACAAACAGGAATTTCACAACTGGTAAGTATGTTTCTGAATGCTTTATGGTTCTTTTTTTTTTCAGGATGTCAGTGCCAAAATGAGTCTACAACTCCCAGAATTATACAAAATTGGCCAGACTGGTTCACTCTTCACTTACAAGATATTTGCGTGGTCTTTTCTGAAAGGCATTATGACTTCATTAGCATGTGTCTTCATACCATATGGAGCGTGCAGAGATATTGCAGGTCCTGGTAGTACCTGTGATTATCAGTCTTTTGCTGTTACAACCGCAACTGCTGTTATTCTTGCTGTCACTCTAGAGGTAAAGACTATTCTAAATTGTTCAAATTATTCCATGTAATTTTTCTGTACCTTGTCAGGTAGTAGACTGAAAAGCAGAATTCAGGAAGTGCAAAGAGCAATTGTAATATTCAGGGTGAAGTAACCTATAGCTGCCAATAAAATTAATCTGAGTTGAGTTAACTGAAACCTGTTTGGCTGATATTGGCTACTGCCCTACAGATATTATGATGTCTCTTTGCGCTGCCTGATTCTGCATCTATGAAAAAGCTACCTTATTTGACACAGCTAAAGTGTTTGTCCACTGAAACATACAGTATGTTATGCCAATGGAACAGTAATTTACCCTGTTTCCCCAAAAATAAGACCTACCCCGAAATTAAGACCTAGTACCATTTTTGGGAATTGCTAAAATATAAGACCTACCCCGAAAATAAGACCTAGTTGTGACCATTCCTAGGGCCGGTGATGGCATAAGGGTGAACTTGAAGAGCTGCGGGTGAGAATCAGCGGTGAAAGCGAAGCCAGCTCTTGAGGAAGCGGAGCCGCATAAGCCGATGTTTCCTTTTTAGCGCCGGCTCCTGTCACAGGCGGAGTGACCAAATGCACTCCGCCTGTGAGGAATCGATAGTGAAAGCGCATTTCACTGATTCTGGCCAGAGATTGGTTACCAAATTGCTCTTGGAAAGGTATGGCACCCCTGATTGCCCTGATCTCCCTATTCTTAACTTTGCCATTTTGGATTATTTAATTTGGATTTGCATTAACTCTGGATTGTTATAAATTAAAAACATTAAAAAAAAAAAAAATAAGACCTACCCCGATAATTAGAACTAGTGTGTTTTTTTTGAGCCACAAAAAATATAAGACAATGTCTTTTTTATCGGGGAAACACGGTACTTGCTTTCCTTGACTCATCTTTAATTTGAACAAAACATGATGGTCTTACTCCTAAATGATTTCATTAATTTAATTGCATTTTTTTGATCATATTAACTGATCATTTTACTCATGAGTAGAATTATCAGTAATTATGATGATTGGGAAAAAAGGTTCCTTTATAAATGTTTGAAGAAAGCCTTCTGACCGTTTTGGACAAAGTTAGATATGAAGAAAAAAAAAATAAGAGTAAGAGCTAAAATAGAGCAAGATTGCTTTACTTAGAGGTTCCTCTCAGAAAGTTAGAATATTGTTAATTCTAACTATCAAATTAGATTCTTCTGGTATAATAAATACACCATGGCTAAACATTTTTTAGTTCTTTGCATAAAAGCAGGAGGTGACAACCAGAGCTATCTTCATATAATAGCACTCATGGGTCATTGCATAGAGAAAGCAGGTTTGGAGAGGGTAGCATCAAGTATCAAACTTGTGTTTTAGTTTTTCCTTAGTTTGTTTCCTTTTCCTGGTCACCTCTGGATATTTGTGGATTCATCTTGTAGGAAAACTGTAGGTAAGGGGTTGCAAAGGAATTACAGGGATCTTTAAATTTCAGGAAAAAAATCATAGTAATGCTAATTTTTCTTGTTGGGTGGTTGCTAGATGTGTAAAGTATCTTCACATCGAGTGCAGGTGACATGCTTCCTTCAAAAGCATATTCTTACAGTAGTTGTTACTAAAATAGTCAAAACACAATCTAGTACTAAGGAGAGTCATCTGATTGGGGCTTGTCCCTAAACATATCCACTGCCAGCTTCCTTGGGAGGACTGTAAGTCTGAGGTAAGCCAGGGATTTCTGCCCAGCCTAAGTGGCCAGTGTGCTGTGCGCTCTGGTTCCTGTGGGATTAATCATGGAACACTAGCTGCAAATCATTTTGTTGCAGCCAGCAGCAACAGGGGACAGTCAGTTGGTTGCTCTGTTTGAATTTAAAATTTAATTTCTTCTTGGATCACTAGTGTGCCCACACGGCCTCTTCTGGGTGCCTGTACTACACATGCGCCCGCTATTTGGATTCTCTAACACGCGCTCCAGCTGTCCCTACTGCAGACATCAGCATATCACAGCACTGTGTTTTTTTCTCCATTTATGCCTTCAGTGTCTGGACACAGGAGGCAACCTTTCCTACTCCAATCATGAGTATTGTTATGGTGGTTACAGTACATGGCAGATAATAGGCACAAGGGGATGGGGTCAGTGGTCTGGGCATGCAACATTACCAATTTGTTGCTCTTCTCTTTGGCCTGTCCACTGCACCATGGATCTTCACAAAAGTGTTGGCTCCTGTCCTGGCTCTGCTTCACTCGCAGGGTGTTCCTGTTGTGGGATATGTGGACGACTTTCGGCTTGGAGCACAGTTGGGGCAGGCATTGCCAGCCAATGTGCATCAACTGGTACAAACTCTGCAGAGTTTAAGATAGATCCTGAATCTCCAGAAGTTGGCACAAACTCTGCAGAATTCCAGATGGATCCTGAATTCAGCACTAAAGCTCACTTGTGGCTTTGAGTACCTGGACCTAGTCTTAAATTCGGCACTGTCCATAGTTTTTCTTACCCAGACAAACTCAAGTCACTCCGCTCCCATGTTCAATCACTGCATTCCAGGGGTCACTTAACCCTTCGCTTTTGCATGAGGGATCTGAAGGTCGCCTCCTTCAGTCCCACTGCAACTCAACATTCTGGCTGTGTGGAACAAGCTGGCTCAGTCTCTGGATTGCCCTATA